TGTGAATCAAGATTGTTTGAAATGTAAAACCGAATCTAACAATACAAATCTTTACAATTAACACCCAAAAATTGAACGATTTTGGCTCAAAAACACCAATCCGGACGAAAAAAGTTCAAGAACAGTGAAGAACATATCGAAAAAAAATTTAAAAATCGTGCAGAAAATTGTGTAAAATGGATATATCTTCAAATCCAAACTGCTGCAGCTTGCTTTGATGCCAATTGATAGTCCCAGAATTCATACAAACATAAAATTCATCTTCTCCAACTGTGTCGGTATGTCCTTCATCCATTACTCCGGTGATCAAGACTAAGGAAAACCCCCTAAAGTCTATCCCAACCGCCACCACCCTCTCTTCTAAAAGATCCTCCTCTCAAACCACTCTTGGTTCTCCATCGAGGGCCAAGAAATCCAAAAAGGGGATAACCACATCTATGGTTGTTACCTCTTAAAAGGTTCAAGTCACTGAAAGAAGACTTACCCCCGAGGCAACTTTAGTTATAACCCCTCCTAGCTCTTTAGTGATTTCTTCAGTCACTATCATACATGTGGCTTCTCTCCCAACCACCTTAGTGACCAAAATCACTGAAGGTGTTAATATCAACATAGCCACTACTGAACACCCACTTCCACCTCTCTCAGCCATATTTTCTTCTCTTCCTTCTTTGGTCTCGACACATGCTAGTAATTCATCAGTGATTATCCTCGCTGGTGATGAAGCAATCACCATAAGACCTGAGGTTCCTCTTCTCGAAACACCTAAGTCAATGGAAGCCTATCCTCTCAAAGGCAACCAAGAGAAAACCAATATCAATCATTTAGATTATGCTGATGACCCCTCAGGTAATCTTCCAACCTACCCCTTTAGTTCTTCTAACCTTGAGTTATCTTATGCTCAACCTTCTTCTTTTTTCCAAGTCCTTGCGATGAAGGAACGCCATTAATGAAAGAAGACTACAACATGGCTGATGAAGTGAAGCTGATTCTCTTGACAGTAAAGACTGTCTTAATCAAAATGGACCAAGTCCATAAAGACATGCCTCTCAGGGATGAGTTGTCCTCTAACCTCTCAGTTGAAGTCAATGACATGAAAGAACGACTATCTGTGTTGCAAATCGATGTACGCACCAACCCTGAGGCTATCTATGCTCTCAATAACAAATTCGATGAAGCGCATGCTCAGCTTACCAAGCATGGTGAGATGTTGCAACAGATACTGGATCTTCTCCAATGTCCAGTGCCGGTTCCTGCTCCCTCCTTCACAGCTATGGATCGCCTATCACTGGATCAAGCTCTCGAAGTCGATCTTCTTCAACCTTGACCTCTATCCGTGCTTGAAAAACGAATGGACATTATATCTTTAAGTTTTGATAATCTCTTCTCTCGTCATGCTGTTGACAAAGAGGGGGAGAAAGACTTGGATGTTGCTGCTGCTGTCCCTACAATACTAGCCGATGCTGATGCTCAAAGAGCTGAAGCAAATGAAGCCGAGGTTGTTGATGATGCCGTCAGAGTTGATGCTCAAGCTCAAGATGAGGACCTTCCTATCACCCCTGTAACTGGTGTTGGTGATAAGGAAGATGATGATGATGATGATGATGATGATGAATCTCCATCCCTTCCTGACGCTGGAAAAGATCTTGGTGGTGATGATAATGAAGACGACGATGACGACGACTTCACCATTTAATACCACAAACCAGCCAGCACTCTGAAAGGAGTCTCTCTCAAGGATTCATCATCCTAGGGAGAGAAGGAGAAAGAAAAAGAGAAAGAAACTTCCACAAAGAACTAGAACACCTCCTCCAAAGACAAAGGTGTTGCTGAAGAAGGAAATCTGAAAGTTCTCTTCGAACCTATTGTACCTCAAGAATATACTAAATCCTACAGGTTTGCCACTGTCATCTCCCTATTTCATCTATCTTCTTTTTTTCCTTCTACTACATGTGGTCGTCTAAAGGAATGGGTACATGAAAACCCAACTTGTAGTGTTCCTAGCGACTAATAGATGACTTAGCTTAAAGAGTCATTCGACCAAACTAGAGTAAAAAAATTTCTTCGTACCTCTAGTTGTGGTGAGTTTGACTTTCTTACAGAAGCTGAAAGACTCGAAGCACTCAAGGCTGAGGAAGAACCCCAAATTCAACGACAACAGACTGAGGATGGCCTCAAGATGGCCAAGTCTCTTGCTTCTCAAGTTCTTCTAAAGAAATGGTCTAAAAAGATGGTGAATGTTGTCAAGGCCCAAGATAAATTGCTTTCAATTGCGGAAGCTGAACGTCAAAAAGCAATGAAGCTGAATGACTGAGACAAGAAATGGAGCGAAGATCCTTTAAGTAAAAGAATAAGTCCCCATCGCATCTCAAGTGTCACAATCAATGGATGAATGAAAGATGGTGGACTGCTCATCTTCATGCTCATTTTTAAAGACAACCTTGAAGCTGTTACTGAGTATCCTTCCTACCTTGGATAGTACGGCTACAGTGAATGGCTGGAAATCCGCCAAGCCATTCAGCGCTCAAAGTCAAGGCACAAGCCCATAATTGAAGACATCCTCAATGAGTTGATCAAGAAGATGTCCAAATTTGTTGTTGTACCTACAAAGCCGACATTGAAGAAAGGTGGAAGAAGAAAACGTTCAAATCCTAATGATGGACGAACTTTGAGAAACGAACATGAAACAATGTTCTCCCGGGAGGAAGTCCTGAAGGATTTGAAGAAGCTAGACATCTCTATGTTGAACTTATCTTTGCCAGCGAATGGTCCTTACACACCCAACAATGTGCATCTAAAGCCTGAGTTTGGATTCATATTCCTTGACTATGAAGGCGAACACAGCTTTTAAATAGTGTTTGAGCTCGGTCTCTGTCCTATAGAATATCTTGATTATCTAAGATATTGGTTGGACGATGACTTTTATGGTGAGATGATAGACCACAAGATCATAAAAGATTTTCTACGTCAAAAGATGTTTGGAGAAGAAGTACCGGGTTACATTGACTTCAGCGACTTAGATTAGTTGGAATTTGCTGTCTTGTAAATTATATCTTTCATTGTAAATCTTATTTTTCTATGTCTTTTCTTTCAGTGTAAAACTTATATGTAATAAGTCTAGAATATATTTATTGAAATACTAGTAATTCTCCTTTTGATTAATATAAGTATTTCATCAGTATCACTGAAAAAGATCCCTGAAAAGAGTAATAGGGACACATGTCTATGAGTTCTAGTATGCTCTTACAGTCACTGACAATCTTCAGTCAGTGAACATGCTTTCAGTTTTTGTTTCCCTAATTATATTTTTTCTTAAACTTGTAACTTAAAAAAACTTATATAGTAATAATTGTATCACTGAAAAAGATCCCAAAATAGTTAAAAGGGACATGTAATTTATGTGTAACTTTTCCTTACTATTATACCCTAAGGTAATTTTCTTTATGTTGCTTTGTCATCATCAAATAGGGGGAGTTTGTTGATCCTCTCTCTCATTACTTTGATGATAATCCCTTTTACCTTTCGAAGTATTATGTTTCTGACTTTTCAGTTTCAGCAATCATCACTAAGTCTGTTCAGTGATCGCTGAAACATGTATTGTAATCCTACAGCGACAGTGATACTTCAAGAAGACAAAACTCACACCAAAAAAACCTTCAGTGAATGTCGAAGATTGAAACTGAAGAATAGTGACTAGTACGTTCGTGATCTGAAGCGGTATTCAGTGATTGCAACTTCGTCAACATACGTATGAAGACTATACAAGCCTCAGTGAATGCTGAAGAAACCTCCAACATTATTCCAGCATTTAATGATCAAATGAAGTTTGCCATGCACAATTGTTTTTGTCTTGTCCTTCCACACACAAAGGATAAATCCATACTCTCTCAAGAGTATAGTACTGCATGGAGCCGACTAGTCAACTCTATTTCCCACCAACTTCATGAAAGGATGTTTGCTCATGAATAGACAATAGTACTATTTGCTGTAGCAAAGGACAAGCTTTCCTCTAAAAGATTGACGCATGTTCTACCTCTTCTGAACTGCATTTAATGCAATGGGTATAAATAGCTGGGTGCTCTCCTCACTCATGCAACACAACACATACATACACTTATCTGTAAGCAAGTTAGATTTTCTCTCTAATTCTAAGGTTCATACCCAAGAAGAACACCTTTTTGTCTTTATCTTTTTCGAATTTTTTTTATATTTGACTAAGTTTATCGATGTGTAATTCTAGATTGTTTTAAATAGGTTTTCTCTACCTTTTCTATTTCTGCAAAAAAATCTGTAAAAATCTGTATTGATCCTTCTATATCAATATATATTTTTAAAAGCGAAAGTTTATGTGTTTGTATTCATCCCCCCTATTCTACAAACTATTCGCCTCTAAACTCTTGTAGATCTAACTGGGACCAACAATATCGCACATCCAAGCTGCAGTAGTTGCATATATCGCATGATACTATCTGCAATAGTCGAGTTTATCGCATACATGTCTGCAATAGTTGAGTATATCTCATCAAGCTTCTGCGATAACTAAGTATATCGCATCAAGCTGCTGCGATAGTCGAGTATATCGCATCAAGCTTCTGCGAGATAATTACTGGTAGCATGACTCCATGCTAAGTCGGCAGTAGGGGGACACTATTCATTTTGGGTTTTTCAAATCTTCTGATAATCATTTTGATTAATGATTATTTTAATCAGGTAATGATGTCTTCTCTGTTTTATGATTTACAAAAACAGATTTCTAACGTGCATGACGAGATTGCAGGTTCAAGACATACCAACAACATGAAGGTTATGTAGAATTTGTTAGTAGAGAAAACTTATCTTCAGGAATATTTTAGTGTGTTAGAAAAGAAACTAAAAAAGTTAGAAAATGAAAAGAATGTTTTGATGAATGAAAATGTTCAGCTTATGAAAAAGATTTATGATTTTGAGAAGGGAACAATTCTGAAAGAAAAGTTTTGGAGACGGAAAAGAAAAGTGTTGAGTTCTCAAAGAAAATATATGAACTTGAAAAGGTTTTAGATAACGAAATGAATGATTTTGAAAAAGAAAGAAAGATTTTTACTGATGAGAAGAACAAGTTTGATTCTGAATGGAAAGGTTTTGATAGCAAATTAAATCTTTGGAGATGACTACTGTTAAACATTCTAAACAAGTTTTAAATTTTGAAAACATTGTTGTGTTGGAAAGAAGCAAGTTTGAGTTTGAAAGAAAAGTGTTTGAAAGTGAAAAGGAAGTGTTCATGAAAAAGGGTGCTGGATTATTCAAAGAAATATATGATAAAAGGAAAACTTTAGAAAAAGACTTCGAAAATGAGAGGATAGTTTTTAAGAATGAGATTGTTAAGCTGTCAGGAAATTATCTGTTTTAGAAATAGATCTTGTGACCGGAGAAGAGTTTGAGATCTGAATTACAAAAGAAAATTGATTTGAGTGTTGGAGAAAATAATGTTTTAACTGACAAAGTCACAGAAATTGAAGATATGGTTTTCAAAACTAAGCAGATAATCGAATAGAATTCAATTAAACTTGAATATTTTGAACATATTAGTCCTGATAATATTGTTCTTTCACCATACAATGATTCAACTGATACTGATTCTGTTTTCTCTTATAAGACTGCTTCAAGTTCAATTCATAGCATTGATCCTTTTTCTCCAAGTAGTATGTAAGAATGACTATTCTTCAAGTGTCAAATCAAACCATTATTCTAATAGATACTCCGAATCAATTTTTTTAAAGATATCAGACTCATAATTCTAATATGCATCAAAATAATTTTGTTTCTAATTCAGATAATGATTTAAGAAGGTTAAAATGGTTTGGAAAAAGAAATCAACAACAAATGACTTTACTGGAAACAAACCACATAAATCTCCTGTAGTTGAAACAAAGTTATTTGCTTCTAGGACCGATTTGGCCTTACTTTGCTAGGTCTATTAACCAGATGATTAGTCTGAGCCAGAAAAGGATTTGCTGTTCTACATGCAGAACAAATGATTTTGTAAGTCAGAGGTATGTTGATAAGTGGTATGGTACATACAGTATTCTTGTTTCCCTAGTTAATAGCGTTAAGGCTAAAGCTAACCTCTGAGGACCCAATAAAGCTTGGGTACCCAAAGCTATCTGATCTGTTTTGCAAGAAAGTCATGTGCTTTCTCATTCATAATATTCATATCACATGATTGATCAATCAAAAGGTTATGTTACTTTTGAGGAAAATTACCATATTTTTGGTAAGTGGATGAATTTTAATTTTCAAAAGAATCATGGTAGTTCATTCTAGAAAAGTTACTCCTGTTTGTTTCTTTCTCGATCTGACATATTTTCTCTTGAATTGGTTATTTCCACGTCGAAAATCATTGTTGAATTTTTTAGTGGAAATACCCTCATTTGAATTCTCATTGCTTACCTTCAGTTCATTTCATATCAATGATTCCATTCTTATTTGATATATTAATTATGACTTGTTATTCACAATTTAACATTCTAATCATTGAATATTTGTTTGTAAACATCATGCATAATGAGTCATCATGTTTAGTGTTCGTACTTGTTCTTTGAAACTTCTAAAGAGATACCTTCGTATGTTAGCTTTTAAACACATCAATTTAGAAGTTGCACCTAATTATTTTGAGTCTTGAATACATCAGTTCAGGACTCATTCTTCATTGTTTTTCCT